AAGTAAAATGTCATTATTTTATAATTCTGAAAATGTGCCAAGTCCCTTAGATCTCCTCTGCCCTAAACACAGGGCAAGGGGCTGGCGGGTCTTGAGAAGCTACTGCCTGGGGAAATGTTCAGAAGAAGGCGAATAGGAAGAAAATGAACATGCAGCATGAGCACTGTGATTTCTTTCTCCTGAGGCCACTCTGCTAAGGAGGACCTTGCTGAAAAAGAAAATCCCTAGTCACTGCTCTGCCATTCATGAGATTCACAATGGTTCTTAATTGTCTCTCTCATTAGCTTGGCCTCCACCATCTGTGCTATTTTCTACCTAATGTGCTATCAAGTCTTTTCTCCAATATCTACTGTCATAACCCTCAATAGTTGTGGCAAGGCAGTCAATACACTGTCTCCTGATGAAATTCTGTACTTTCCTCATTCTGAAGTCTATTCTTTCTGAAAATCCCTTTTCCTGAGTTTTCCTATTCAAACTCTTGCCCATGCTTCAAGGTTCAGAACAAATTCCACCTATCCAAAAAGCCCTTTGTTTGTCTAAGGTTAAAACCCAAGAGAAAAATTAAGATCCTCAAGAAGAAATTCTATTAGGTGAGCCACTTACTTTGGATGTCCTCCACTGCATTCCAGAACCACAATGCTAGCAGATGTGATGCAACAGTCTACCGAGTAAATAACAGTAAAACGGGACTTTTAAAGCTAGACAGACATTTCTGTGCCTTTCCTAGAGCTCTCTTGCCAAGCCAGTGAACAGATTCTCTGAGAGCTAGCTGCTAACATTCACAGCCATGCTCTTTTGAAAATTGCTCTCTACTGAAAGAAACATAACCGACTGGAATTATTGGGGAGAGCATGTCCTCACTCCCAGGGTGGCCCATTACCAACAACAGAAGGAAACGGTGATTTAGGGACAACAGTGACAAACACACCCTGTTGCTGTGGGGTAGGACACCTCTGAAGTATCATTCCAGGCTTCAGTGCTGCCTGTTGGATCAGAATGAAGCCATCCTTCAGCAGAGCCCACAGCTCTATCTGGCTTCTCCTGCTTCTCTCTCATCCTTGTAAGTTTTCCCTGGACATCACTCCTCACTAAACCACTTGCATAGGAATTGCTGTCTAAGGCTCTGCCTTTGGAGAACTTGTCATAAGACAGTCTCAATGCATATTCAGGAATGAGAGCCATATGTACTCTACTGTGCATGCTCAAAATTAAAGATAAATCAAATATAAACATCAGGTTCTGAGTGCTGCCGCAGATTCCTCCTTCCTGAGGGACTAGTTATAACCCTTACCCATCACCTTCAGTCATGTAGATGGAAGGTCTGTCTATGGGTCTTTTTGCACTTGCTCCTCGCACTGCTGGGGTTTCCATTTCCTGCTAACTGGTTCTGATGAGTAGACATTGGACTAAATCAAGTCTATCATATTTTCTGTGATTTTGCTCCTTTAGTTAAATGCTCCTGTTCTGATGGCAGTATCCCCACAGTTGTCCCCTTATTTATGGCTGGCTCCATCATCATAGTCACGGTGTGTGTCATAGGGTCCTACATCTGTATTCTCATTACCATCCTGAAGATGATCTCCACCAAGGGATGCCACAAGGCCTTCTGCAACTGAACATCCCACCTCACCACGGTCACTCTGTTTTTTTTTTTTTTTAAAGATTTTATTTATTTATTTGAGACAGAGAGAATGAGAGACAGAGAGCATGAGAGGGAGGAGGGTCAGAGGGAGAAGCAGACTCCCTGCTGAGCAGGGAGCCCGATGTGGGACTCGATCCCGGGACTCCAGGATCATGACCTGAGCCGAAGGCAGTCGCTTAACCAACTGAGCCACCCAGGTGCCCTGGTTTTTTTTTTTTTAAGATTTTATTTATTTATTTGATAGAGAGAGCGAGTGACAGCACACAAGAGAGTACAAACAGGGGAGAGGGGCAGAGGGAGAGGGAGAAGCAGGCTCCCCACTGAGCAGAGAGCCCGTTGCGGCACTCGATCCCAGGACCCTGGGATCATGATCTGAGCTGAAGGCAGATGCTTAACGACTGAGCCACCCACGTGCCCCTGGTCACTCTGTTTTATGGGACCATCACATTCATTTATGTGATGCCCAAGTCCTGCTACTCAACTGACCAGAACAAGGTGGTGTCTGTGTTCTACATGGTAGTGATCCCCATGTTGAACCCCCTCATCTACAGCCTCAGGAACAGTGAGATGAAGGGGGATCTGAAGACAGAGCTTGGCAGAAAAATATTTTCTTAATGAAATCTGTTATTTTATGATTTTGATATGATAATATACCATAATAATAAAAGGAAATAGTATCTATGGTCTAAATACATAGGACCATAGGCCATTAGCCAGTGTGGGGCTTTCTAGTAAATGAAGAGGGTGGATTTTTTTTTATATCAAATTATAAATCAGAGGCCCATAGTGAGTTACTTTAATGAAATTCATAATTAGAAACACATATTGATACACGTGAAGGCATACCTTATCAGTTGAAAT